AGGCACCGCAGGCAAGACAGTCGATGAAGTAATGAACCTTCATCAACTGAGGTTTCTCAGATATGTGATGCGCATACCCAGTCTCCATCTACCCCACAACACAATCTTAGTTGAAATTAGATTAGGTTGGAAGAGGGCTCAGGGTGACCAGACTAAGAAGTGGCACCAGTTCATGACTCAGTCTGGCTCGTTTACGGAGGGTATACTAGCTGGTTGGGGTCCTCGAGATGATAGGAATCAGTGGTTGGAGACCATTGGTGCAATGGTTGAGAATGGGTCATAACGGTGCAAATGTATTCACTCTTTGATATCCTATGAAGTCCCAACATCTTCACTAGTCTTGATTTTGAATTTCTTTTTTCACCCATACAGTTTTGTCTACTTTGTGGTCAATCTTTTTCTACGCACTTTTTATTTGCATGTTGCTGTGATGTGTGTCCAATTGAATCAGTGTACTTGTGTGCAAGGTTCTATGTTGATCTTTTTCCATTTGTTTGTCTGGACGCTTAAGAAACTATTGCCGTCTACCATGATGGCTTTCCATAGTCTTAAGTTAAGCGTGTAAAGCGATGCGTTGAGATGACCTTAGGAATGTGTTAGACCAAGTAATACGATCAAACGACATAAATCAGTCAATGAAACGATGTGGAAAGGAGTAATTCGAAGCAATTTATTTTCATGAGAAAATTAGGTAGGGTTCAAGCAGGCTACCTTTCTGATGAACTGAACTTTTAAATTTAGGGACCGTGGATTCAACACAACATTTTATGAGCATGCAAAACAATTAGATTAATATATTTATAATGAAGAAGCTTATGAGCAGAGAATAGATTATACACACTACAGTCGGAGAAAGGGTTCTTTAATACAAAAGACTGAAGCGGATATTAGGATTTTAAGTTATTGACCAATCAGACAGAAGTTGCTTCACATAAAAATTTTAAATCCATGCTGATGTGTGATGGGGAAATCCCTAAATGTTTGAATGGCATTCCAACAGAAACCAGTCAGAAACAATTTAAGTCTTTTCTCTGGGGTATTTAACATAGATAAAAACAGCATCATCTGTAATTCATTTTTGGTAATAAGGACCATTTTCACAGCCAGTACTTGTTTCTTCTCATAATTAAGCAGTTGTGTGAAGCATACGGTAATGGGGAGGCGGCGAACAAAAACACAACCAATATTCATGTACCATTCGAGCACATCTGGGCTTTCAGTATTGTTGCTGAGAAAATTAAACTCGAAATATCGACTGTTGGCATCCGACATACTGCCACGTAAGTCATATGTGGCGTGACCTATATTATTGTTCATTATTTCACTAAAATATAGCGTGGAATGAGTAATTTTGACAGCAATTTTTAATTAATATCGCCACTTATACCACTAGGCATCACTATTTATGTAAACGAAAATATTTTTCTTCCCTGGGTTCCTAGTGAAACATAAGGCTCCAGTAGCACATCTCCATTGGACTCTGTTCTCTGCAGTCTTTTGAACCTGCCTCCACGACTGCCCAGAAGCTTTCATCTCTTCATCACATGATTTCCTCCATGTTACCCTCGCCTCAGACGCCCAACTCATTGTTTCCCGTGTGCGTTCCACTCAACGGCCTGACTTGGCGCGTGATGTCCCCGAATGGTCTTCTCAGTGTATGCCCAATCCATCTCCACTTTCTTCTACACTTCTGTTGGGCGATAGATTCTTGGTTGGTTCGTTGGCATGCCAGATTGAGTTCCTTGTTGCTTATTCTTATTATTCTATCCATCTGATCTTCAGTATCGAGTAAGCGTAGGCGGCAGCTGCTGATGAGTGTCTGTAGTTTGTTGGAAGTGCTTTCCGTGACGCGCCAAGTCTCTCAACCATCACAAAGAAGCACTGACTTGACTGAATTCGTGTTGAAAATCCGGATATTGTTCACGTTTTATGCTGAGTGTAGTGTAGTGCAGTGCAGTAGATCTCCACACTGATTTCAGATTAATGAAGGCCTGTCTTCCTTTTCCTATCCTGGCTTTGAGGTCCACATCTGTGCCACCTGTAGTTGAAACGATGCTGCCTAGGTAGGTGAAAGAGAATACTTCCTTTAGCTTTCTCCCGGTGATGGTGATTGGTGCTTGTTGTTGTTGGTTGGTTGGATATCTTCATCACCTCTGTCTTCTCTACATCCACTTGAAGTCCTGTTTTCGTTGCCATGCTTCTTCTGTCAACTTGTCGATTTTTGCCTGTAGATCTTTGAGTTTGTGCGACAAGATATTAGACATAAATCATCATCGGCGGCGAAATCCAAATCTTATAGGCTCTTTTCATCGGTCAAGCCAGTGTATGCCCATCTTCACACAGCTCCTCACTGTTTGCTGCATGATCCGGTCGAGTCCATCACAATCACGAAGATAATGGGTGATAGTAGGCGGCAGCCTTGTCTTACTCCTGTCTTCACTTCAAAGACATCATTGAGCTTTCCATTGTGAATCACTTGGCATGTAGCATCATACAGCATATAGCTGTTGAATGAGGTTGATAAAGATTAGTGGCACTCCGTAGTGTTGGAGCAGCAGTTTCCAAATTACTTCTCAGTCGACGCTGTCGAAGGCCTTTTCAAAGTCGATGAAGTTGAGGTTGAGGTAGAGAGTTGACTGCCATTCTATACTCTGTTCTATGATGATGCGTAGCGTAGTGTTACAATTTGATCCGCATATGATCTATTCTTCCTGAAGCCTGGTTCAGTCGTAGTTTTGACTCCAGAGCATCCTTTAGTCTCTCCAGGATGATGGGGGCATAATATTTTGCTTGGGGTGGACAGCAGCGTGACTCCAGGCCAGTTCTTGCAAAGGCTTAGGTCTCCCTTCTTTGGGAATTTGACAAGGTAGACATTCTTCCAATCAATCAGAATGTACCTTTCCTTCCTTCCTTCGTAACATTCTGCAGTAGTGGTGTCAGCATGTCCGCTACTGTTGTCTCTGCATCTGTTTTCAGTGCTTCTGGCGGAATTCCATCTGGTCCTGCTGCTCTCCCGGATTTCAGCACCTTCGTGGTATTCAGGACTTCTGCTTTTGTCGGAGGGCTTGTGTTCACTTGTAGTACTGCCGTTGCTGGTGGTATTTTCGGACTAGTTGCAGGTGGTGGTCGATTCAAGAGTTTTTCGAAGTGATCAGCCCATCGTTTCCTTTGTTTCTCCTCTCTGGTAACTAAGTTTCCTTCACTATCTTTCATTTGTTTCATCTGTGTTGATATAATGTTGTCAGGTGTCTCCTATCAGCAGCCAGTTCTGCTTCACTTGTCAGCGTGTCGTAGTAGTGACTTTTGCCTTTGCGCGCACTCTTCTTCACTTCTTTGTCCAGTGTTTCATACGCTGTACCCAGTTCTTCTTTTCGTTGCGCATCATTGCACTGGTTCATCTTCTGCTTCACCATCTTCCTCTCCCTCCTCTATCAGCTTCCATGTGAAGATCCGTCGAGGTCCATTCCTTATCTTCTTTCTTCTTCCTTCAGAATACGGTTATGCAGGTTTCTTTCCACATAGCTTTCAAAGAGTTCCAGTGTTCTTCCAAGCAGGTTTCCTCGGGGATGTTGCTTTATGTTTCCCATTTCGTCCTGATGGCTGACAACGTGAAGATCTCCTTTGTAGTTCCCTGCTTCAGTTCAGTTTCTGTTCTGGGTGGTTGTTCAACTTGAACTGTGGTCGATCATCACCAACTTCTGTGAAGGCTTTCAACTTGATTTTGAAGGTAGGTTCCTTGTACTAGATAGTGAAGTGAGTGGTGTGAAGCTACAACTACTCCTCTTCTTGATCTGATCTTGTGTCCAGTAGGCTGTGTCTCCATCTCCCCTTTCTTCACATTGGGATGAAGTCGATCCGATGTTTAGTGTAGTGTGTCCTGGTGTCTGGTGAAATCAAATCCATGTCGCTGCCTTGTGAATATCCTTGTGTTCGTACACAGTGCCTGACTCCAATCACCAAATCGTTGAATGCGCACAAGTCTGCAAACAGTTCTTTATTCTCGTTCATCATTTCACCGAGTGCTTCTCGACCCATGCACTGTTCTCTTCCTGTATTGTCTGCTCCCAGTTTGGCATTCATGTCACCCACCCCACACATTAGAATGAATTTTGATGTCGCCAACTGGGTTGAGGTCTTGTCCAGTACTGATTTCAGTTGTCTATAGAATTCCTCCTTCTTCTCTTGATCTGCATTGTTTGTAGGTGCGTAGCGTAGCATAGCATTGTATGATTGTGACTTTCCTTCCTTTTGATTTGTATCTTGCTGTCATGATCCTGATCTTGGAGAAGACTGGTTCCCACTGCATGAGAGAGAGAGCCTTCGATGCTCTTGGGGACATCATGATAGCCACTCCAAAACTCAGTATGCTCGTGGTTGTCGTCTGGGTGACAATATCGGAGTAGATTACTGACTCTCCAGTTGACAGTTTGGAGAGTCCACTCCCATTCCATCTGCTTTCATAGATTCCTAGCACTTCTATGCTTTACCTTCTCATTTCTTTTGCAATCTGGGCTTTAGCCTTGGTAGGTTCAAACATTGTGCGGACATTCCATGTCCCCATGTTTACTTTTGCTTTCATCGAGAGAAGATACATCGGCTAATTGGCTTCCCGAAGGCTTTCACCAACCGGCGTCATTTCGCCTCTCCGATTCCAGCGAGGAATAGGTTTATTTTTTATATTTCGTTTGTGCTTTGAAGTTTTTTTGGCGATTGTATTGGTTTTCTGGGGTAGGGTTGCTTGCCGTAGGCCCAACCTTCCCTCTTTACCCGGCTTAGGACTGGATAGTAACTAGTGAACTATTTAACCAGGCGAGTGACGCCAAGTGAATCTTACATGTCAATATGCCGAATACCGGCAGTCGAAATATGGGCTCATTTTACTGCAATATGAAAGAAGAGGGTATAAAGAAATGAAAAGAAAGTGTTCAGAATTTTGAAAAGGATAAAGGATGAATAACAATTCAAAATTTGATAATCATATATATATAGCTTGAACTTACAAGAGTATTGAACAGGGTTTTGCATTACGAATAAATTCAGTTTGTAATAGCGCTGCTGCTGTAGGACGTGCTTCAGGTGATTTGGCCAAACAGGCTGTAACAAATGCACGAAACTCTAATGACCAGTTACTAGGTTTACGTAAAGCTGGAGCTGGTTGACTCGGTATCATGAATAGTGCACGCATAGGATGGATATCAGCCAGTGGAGGTTTCCCATCAGCCATCTCAATAGCAGTTATACCTAAAGACCAAATATCTGCAGAACAATTATAGCCGATTTCTTGAATAACCTTGAAGAAAGGATCAATTAAACGGGAGAAGGGAGGAAAAAGTATGAAACATGCGAATTACTATTTTATTAACTTGGTGATGTAAATCTAAACATCGTTAAGGTAAACAAGAGAAGAGACGATAAAGAGTGAATTCTATGGCCTTCAAATAATGGGTAATATTTGTATCTCATGAGGACACTTAAAGTGATACTCACGTCTTTGAGTTGAACTGTTTAACCGTAGAACTTCCATTGTCAACCAAGACAATATTATCAGTACACACCTTAGACCTCTCGACAAGTAGCTCGACTTTATGATCTGGAAAGCTCGGTAGTATCATAAGCCGTCACGCAATAGATTTCACTCATTATCGTTTGTACGAATGAGTACCAAGATTCCAAGAGGATTTCAGTTCGAGAGGAGAATAAAACAAGAACAAAATGTAAATGCAGTCGTAAGTTTTTTGGACTGACTGACCACGTAAACGAATTATTGAGAGAACCATTTTGGGGCAGTTAACCTTGAAACTCCACCCAGTTTAAAAATTCTATGATAGCAACTAAAAATAATCTATTTTGTAATCACTTCATGCTGTATTTTGAGAAACAATCACATATTTCCCAAGAAATGTGATAAACTTTTCTAACTCACCCACTAACTAGGACTCAGTGATAGATTTAGGTCTGCCATGTGATCATGAGTTCAATTTCTCAGAGACAATGACTATACATTTTAAGCTTTAAGTGTCCAGTCAATTAGTATCAACATGAAACTTGGCACTATTGCATAACGATCCCAGTTGTTCCACCTAACGCTACTATATCAGGGTAGAAGGAGCCAAAGTGAAAGACAGAGAAATGGAAATTTAACCAAAGGACGTGGAAATACATAAGAGATAAGAAGAGAGAAAGAGGGGTAAGATAAACAACGAAATGTTTTAGTTGTTAGATTAGTGACTAGTTTATACTATAAGACCAAGTGTTTAACATTTAAATAATTAAGAACGATCTTGATCAGATGACACTGGTTATACAAGGGATGGTGAGTGAGTGATATTGAGAGAAGTCGGGTCATTGAGAGATCTAAACTGTCTATTACCAGACTGTCATTCTGATGACACACAAGAGGAGCTACGTCACTCGACTGGTTCCTGGGTTTTAAATTATTTTATAGCATGGAATTTGAGGTTTGTGGGGGAATTGGTTGATTTCAAAGAGAAGTACTCATCACAGATCAGCTTTAGTTAGAGAACCACTGAAAGCCTTCAAGCACTGGACAGATTTTTATATCTAGTTTGGGACGCCTTAGGAGTGTACTCAGTAGCAACGTACAAGCTGCAATACCTGGATTGAATACCACATTGGATAGTGGATACAAACTATTGACGAGTCCCAAACAGCAGTTCAACGTTCCCAAGACTTCAGTGGTTCTTTGGTTAATGTTGATACGCGATGAAAAAGCCTGTTTATATCATTGAGAAACATACACCTGACCGTATTTCATCCCATCAAGTACTCAGATTGGTCTTCCAGTCCCAATGAAAATACAAATAAGTAAAAGGAAACGCTGACTGATAAACGCAACCTGCGGGCTACTAGTTCACCAGTCGAAATACAACTCAAAATGTTCTATAAACTTCGATCACAGACTAATTTAACTCGTTTAACATGCATTACACATACAAACATCTACTGGCAAAAAGTGGACTATTACAATGAAGAATTGAAACAAATCCGGAAAAGCTTACCTCAGGCGCCATCCAATAAGGTGTACCAATAACTGTATTACGCTTAGCGAGAGTGTCAGATAACTGACCAGCAACACCAAAATCTGCCAATTTCGCAGCACCTGAATTAAGCAATAGTATATTTCCTGCTTTGATATCACGATGAATTTTTCGCATCTAAAACAAACAGGGGAGGGGAGGAATAAACGGAAGTTAATTTAAATGACACTGTGTTATAGACAAAAAGAGCACTTGAAAATTTTTCACGCTTTATCTGATGGATCCACGTTATTTTGTGATTATTCATGATCGTAAATACCCAATCTTGTCTAAATATTATGAACGATAGGATGTAAACACTAAAATAAACTCTCTCAGCAACCATGTGCATGATACACAAGGCAATAAGCTACACCAATTGATTACCACGCATGTGGTGGAATTACTGTGTGAGCAATACTGAGGTTAGGCGTAAATACTAGACAAAGAAGGCAAGTGGTACATTGGATATATATTGCGCATGTCGAGCTACTACCTACGTTGACATGCGATGTGAACCAACGTGGTATTTGGTCGAAACAGGCTACTGGAGACAAGACCAAGACATGGCATCAATTTGTGAAGTCTCTGACAGTTGTTCTGAGCCATGAAAGGAGTTGCGGGTTGCCTGACTGAGGTCCTCTAGTAGATAGAAACCAACGGTTGGATAGCCACATGATATAGCTCTAAACCAGTGACACTGGTTAGGACTTATTCCGTCTGTAATCTTTCGAGCCTTTAGTACTTTTACACAGCGTCACGGGTTAATTTCTCTCCTCTGATGCACTTATTTCTGGCGTAAAATCAATCTTTTTCGATCCTACTCTTTTCTGCATATCACCGTGAAATCATTATCGTCATATCAACATAGGACCAGGCATTATTGCGTATCGGTCCGAGTTGCCACACCTCATCTCATATCACCACATCAGATAGAAAGGTGGAGAGGTGAAAGATGAGGATAAGAAACTTCAGCCAAAAGAAATATAAAGTAGGAGAAGAAAGAAAGGAAGAATGACAAAATGGTGAGATTCTATGTAGCATCGTTAAGATGAGGATAATGTGTGTATACATCTGCGCCACTGACTTCGGTTCTGAGCCATATCACCTAGGGTCTCCAACCACTGGTTCCTCTTGTCCCGTGGACCCCAACCACCTAGTCTGCATCGTCCTACATGGCTTAAACCAACAGTCAGAGACTTCATACATTGGTGCCATGTTTTAGTCTGGCCACCTCGGGCCTTTTTCCAGCCTGAACCCACCTCAGCCAACATTGTGTGACGAGGCAATCGGTGACTAGGCATACGTAGTACGTGTCCCAACCATCTCAGTCGATGAAGGTTCACAACCTCGTCGACTGACTTACCTCTTCTCCCTAAAACTCTACACCTAACTTCTGCATTACTCACATGGTGACACCACGGAATACGTCCTATACTACGAAGGCAACGGTGGTCAAACACCTGAAACCTTCTCATGTCTTCCACTTTCAATGGCCATGTTTCACAGCCATACAGTAGAACAGAGCGGACTGCTGTGCAGTACACGCGACCCTTAATAGACAAACGAATATCACGGCGGCGCCATAGGTGGCGCAAATTGGCAAAAGCCAATCGAGCCTTTTGTATCCGTGCAGAAATCTCATCGGCAACTAACCCACCAGTTGATCCTACTTCCCAGGTAAGTGAAGTGGTCAACACACTCAACCACTTCACTCTCTATTGTTAACCGCGGTACCGCTGAAGACCAGTCCTGGAGCAAAAATTTGCATTTGGGTGGTGAAAATCGCATCCCAAACATTCTCAAATTCCCACTCAAAGTGTTCAGAAGACTCTGCATCTTGTCAGCGTCTTCACCTAACAGGACTATGTCATCTGCATATTCTAGATCTAAGGAAAATTCACCTGTGATCCGGTCAACGTCTTTGTAATTAGGTGACGAGAGGGAAACCTCCATAAGAATATCTATGATAAAATTAAATAAGAATGGGGATAGTGGGCATCCTTGACGGACACCACTTGATGAGTATAGCTCCCTGGACAACTCACCATAGGCTCTAACATGCCCACAAGTGTTCGAGTAGAGAGCTTTCAATAAGGTGATGTACTTACTAGGCACGCCTTTCAGTGACAGACACTGCCATAAGACTTCTCGATCAACGGAGTCAAATGCCGCCTTCAGGTCGAGAAATACAGCTATTGTCGGGCGTCTGTAAGCATGCCTATGTTCCAGGACCTGGCGCAGTGTGAATATTTGGTCGATACATCCACGGCCAGGTCTAAAGCCTGCCTGGTTTTCTCGGGCTTGCTGTTCCCGAGCTCCACTCAGGCGTCGGAGAATTATAGAACTTAGGATCTTAGACACTATGTTTGTCAGGCTGATTCCTCTGTGGTTATCACAAGAGGACTTCTCGCCTTTCTTGAAGACTGGGATGATCAGTGACTTAGACCAGTCGGAGGGGATCGTATTTGATTCCCATATACTGGCTAACACTTCCGTTAGCCTGACTAAGAGAACTCTACCACCATTCTTGTATACCTCAGCAGGTAGTCCGTCTGGTCCTGCTGCCCTTCCCCGTTTCAGGCTACCTACCGCTTTCTCGACTTCTTCAAGTGTTGGGGGACCTGTCTCTATGTCCCATTCAGGGTCCGACTGGATAGCGGGCAGCGCAATGGTGGCTGGAGGCCAGTTAAACTGTTCCTCAAAGTGTTCTGCCCATCGTCCCAGTCGCCTTCCCTGCGAGTGAATCGCAGATCCGTCCTTCTCCGCTATAACCTCACTAACTGTTGTTGACCATTTCCCCCCAGTCTCCTTAATAAGTCTAAATAACTGTCTACTGTTACCGATCGCCGCTGCCTTTTCCATCTCTTTAGCCTTTGCTGCCCACCACTGTTCACGATCGTTGCGCAGACTTTTCGTCAGTTTATTTTTAAGTTGCGCTCGCTCTTCATTGTACTCAGAGCCTGCAGGGATGCATTCACGTGCATCCATTAGTTTGGAAGAAGCTGCTGATATCCACTGGCTCTTTTTAGCCATTATCTTGGAGTCGGCTACAGTCTCCAGTGCTGCTTTTACAGTAGACTGAAGATGGCACCAAGCTTCTTCTGGATGAGTGACAGTCTTTTGTTCCGATAACTGCCTAGCCAACTTCTCACTGAACACGGCTTTGGTGTTTTCGTTGTCCAGCAGAACTCGTAGTGGTTTTGTTGCCAAATTTTTTCTACGTCCATTGAGACGCAGGCATATACGTGCTCGGACCAACGCATGATCGCTGTCCAAACACGTACTCCAGAAGGAGCGGCAGTCTTCCACCGATCCTCTCCAGCGATGACTAATAGCAATGTGGTCTATCTGTGTCCATCGCTGAGTCGAGCTCGGTGGACGCCAGGTCAGACAGTGCCTTTCTTTATGTCTGAAATTTGTGCTGGCTAAAAATAGGCGGTTATCTGAGCATAGTTGTAATAGGCGATCACCGTTATCTGTACGTTCAGCTGGGATTCCGAAAGTGCCACCTAAGTGCCTTTCTGCCTCACTCAGTCTACCCACCTGTGCGTTGAGGTCACCTGCAACAACCACTACGTCCGAACGTTTGGCTTTCGAGAGGAGGTTAGACAGTTTATGGTAGAACTCGTCCTTCACTTCATCCGAACTACAGTCAGTGGGTGCGTAAGCAGAGATTACAAAGAGACAACGGCGAGTCTCACTATTCCTTTTAGTTCTCACTGTGCCGTTCAGCCTCATAGCGCAGAGGCGACTATCAACTGGGATCCAGTCTAGTAGTGAGTTTTCTGCCCTGGTGCTTAATGCTATACCTACACCTGCAAGACCACGAGAGCTAGCTATCGAATCTCCAGAAACTCGAAGGGTGAATTTTGCAGATTCACCAGATTGGTCAGGAGAGGTCAGGTGAATAACCACACTTGGGTCCTGTATGCGTGTCTCACAAACACAGCACACATCCATGCCCGAGTTGCTAGAGTCTTTGCCAACGAAGCCTGTTGGCCAATTTGACGGAGGGTGCGGACATTGAAGGCTCCAATATGTAATTTGGAGCGTGGTTTAAGGAGACCAGGGATGTTGTTCTGTGGACTCAGATCGTTGTCGAAGGCTGCAGAGGTAGGAGAAATTGAAGATGATGCAGCATCATTAATTAAGAGACGTGAAGGAAGATTAGAAGGTAATGATGGAGGAGGAGGATAGCAGTCAGAAGAAACTTGGGTGCTGACAGAGTTGTGAGGGCGGTTGACACTTCCCGGCTGCCCACACCGTGGAAGGCTATTTCTTCTTAAGGTACCTGAAAGAGATTTGTGTGACCGCAGAGCCCATCGGACATCTGCTTGAGGCCTGTCACACCCAGCCTTTTGAGTATGATTATTTTGAATTTTTGTATTTTTGGGGCCGGATGGTCGAAAGGAAACGACAAGTGAACCAACACCGCCGGCCCGGCAGACCGTGGGGCGTGGTGGAGTGTGTTATTTTTGGGGCCGACCTTTTCTAACCCCCCCTTCCACTGAGAAGGCAGCATCAGCTTGGCACTGCTGGTCATCCAAGGGAAACACCTTACTGCTGTCACACCCCATCCAGCTAGCAGCAGTACGACTTCGCCCTCAGACCCCCATCATAGTGTAGCAATTTACACTATAACGGTAACTGCTTTTCGTCTAACCACTACCCAACAGACCTTTCTGGTATGGTAGGACCTCGAGGGAACAAGCGTTCCACCAGCATAGCTCGTTGGGTCATTGTGATATGCAAGCCCGACCACCACGTCAAGGTAGCAGCTATCGGCCGTGAAGTGTGACAACTTGAACCAATGCATTTTCGTGCCACTTCCTTCGTTGGTTTGTAGATCACAAAGCGATCGTATAAGGGCTAATAATACTGCCCGGCTGCTGAAACGTCGGCAGGTGAAGCAATTTTCACACTTGTGACGCACTGATTAAAGTTAACTGCCTAAATTAATGAGTCACAACTCAGATGGACAAACAATACTCTAATGCACTTACAAACCAATCCACAGAATGCCTAAGGTGGCACTGCTCAGAACTGATTTCATTGGTGTAGACGCAACCACTTCTTATCTTAGCCATAACTGTTGTACCGTATGTCATTATTTGCATTAATAAAAAAGGAATCTTAAGACTTTTGATGGTATCATTTTCATCCTCTTTTTTTCCAGCTCGTTTGATAAGATTAACTGAAGTGTTAGCTACTGTATGCGAGTCGGATACGATTCCCAATGACTGGCCTACACCAATGATTCTTCCAGTCATTAAAAAGACGAGAAATCCTTCTGTGATAATTAAATGATGAACATAGTAACCAAGATTCCATCTGGATTCTGTAATAACCAGACGTCTAAGTGGAGCACGGAAAAAGCAAACACGCAGAAACAAAGAGGGTTTCAGAGCTAGTTGACAGTTTACCGACCAGAAATTCATACTACATCAGGTCGGAGCACTAAAGGACATCTCATGGCAACTGACACTATCTACATTTATTGACCTGTGAGCACTACTGGAACCCATCGATCGAGAGGTCTGACTGGAGAGTATTTCACAGAAAAGGAAAATGAATCACTGTGTTGTATGTTCTCTACTCAAATACCGATGGACGCGTTAGAGTCCGTGGCGAATTATCAGATGAAATATGTGTCGAATGGTGTCCGTCACGAGTGCTTACTCTCTCAGTTCTTACATATTTTCGTCACAGACCCACTTATAGAGGTCTCTCTCGTGTTGTATGGCCTTACAAGAATCGATGCTGTCACAGAAAACTTGTAGTAGACCTAGAGCATGCAGGCGACACATTCCTGTGAGATAATGAGGCTGACAAGATACAGAGTCTACTAGACACTGTAACAACCTGAGAATGTTTGGGATGTGGTTTTCGCCACTTAAATGCAAGTTGTTACTCCAGAACTTGTCTCCGCTGCTGCTTTGTCTAACAATAAGGAGTGAAGAGAGGCTGAACGCATTGGCCACCTCACCTAACTGGGAAGTCGAGTCAGCTTTGGTGGGTTGATGACCGACAAAATCTCGGCACGGATACAAAAGACTCGTTTCATCTTCAACAACTTACCACATTTATGGCGCTGTCTTGATATCCAGCTGTCTGTTAAGCGTTGAGTGTACTGTGCTGCAGCTCTGTTCTACTATATGGTTATAAAACACGACCTTTAGCATTCTCAGGTTGTTATAATGTCTAGTGGACTCTGTATCTTGTCAGCCTCATTATCTCACAGGAATGTGTCGCCTGCATGCTCTAGGTCTACTAACAAGTTTTCTGTGACAGCATCGATTCTTGTAAGGCCATACAACACGAGAGAGACCTCTATAAGTGGGTCTGTGACGAAAATATGTAAGAACTGAGAGAGTAAGCACTCGTGACGGACACCATTCGACACATATTTCATCTGATAATTCGCCACGGACTCTAACGCGTCCATCGGTATTTGAGTAGAGAACATACAACACAGTGATTCATTTTCCTTTCAGCTAGAGATACTGGAGACACTAGAGACCTCGACCGATGGGGTTTCTTGAGTATGCCTACGGGTAGTTTGATGCGTTTCATGAAAAGACTGCACAGACGAAATATATTGTGTAACAACAGTGATAACGTTACAACATATATTCATCACGAAGATAGTATTATTCACTTACTTGGTGTAAATAGTCTAAACCACACAGACTATAATGTAAAACTGTAGCAATTTCATCTTCTCCAGTAATTGGTTTCCCTCGCAAGCGCATAATATCAGCTATTGAACCAGCACCACAATATTCCATACAAATCCATAAGTCTTGACTATCGAATAAACTACCGTAGCATTTTACAATGAATGGACTATCACACTGTTGCATAATTGAAATTTCTTTCACTATGTCAGCTAAATCACTATCAACGGGAACCTTGGAGACAAAAAAAGTTCAATAACAATATGAATTAATAGTAAACTGTGTTCAAGTTTTCACTATGGATTATTTCATCGGTGCAATCTACTATTTTGGTTCGTTGGCTTCAGACATAACATTCAATCAGTGGCAGCTGGTAAATGGTTAGTTTATATGCTTAACCCTTTAAAAGGACTTAATTTCCCGGTTTCAGACGATAACCCATGATAGATTTTGAAACACTCGTGTTTGAGAAATCTGTACAAATAGTATACAAAAGTCTTGCATTACTCAAGCCGACACATTATGTACTAGGTTATGGTACACACCTACTAAAGGAAAGCTTATAATACAATTGACTTTCGCAGGCTGAAGTGGGCGGAAGAGTATTTGAAACTAAAACTTAATGTTACACAACCGAATGCTGGAGCAAATGAGCCGTAACCTTTATGAGTTACCTTAAATTCAAGAGGTTAGGTGACCTGAAATGACGATGTGCTCACGTAATAAGCCGGGCATAGTTATGTTAACTTTTTGATGATAACGCAGGGTAACATTCAGAAATGGGTTTGGAGTGCATGTCTTGTTCCCACCTCACCCCCTATAACTCTATAGGGGCCTCTGGTGATGTGGCCTGCAGCGAGTTTACCCTTAACACGTCTACAGAACGAGTCAACTGCAAAAGATGACGAAGTCCTACAGAAGTGTTTTTCTTATCAATTTGGCCAGACGGTTGACAAACCGATGCTTTAGCACCCAGTCACGCTGCTCCCCCAGAATCCCCTTTTGAACTGTCCACAAAATTAGATCGAATGGTTCGAAAGGAGTACAGTTCAGTAACGTTTGTACGATGAAAGCGTTGACACTTCAAATGAAATCTCACCTTTCATTAAGTATTATTACCACCTTTATTTGTGTTTATAAACAAGGTTCTATCTTACTCTTGAACATTATAGTAACCACTTGACGCTACTCACTATTTATAAACTTATTCGATTCGAGTGCGTAGTTACAATTGTAAAGCTTTATTACATGACCACTAAAAAGGAAAACCCCCTGGAAAGCAGAAATGCAGCTCGACTAACACACACATTTTACTGATGGGCAATTAGTCATATGCATCGTATAAAGTTTCCCTAAGGTGAGATTGATTGGCTTTCGAGTTTGTAACTCACCAGTTGAAAGTTAACGCCCTAAACCGATGAAGATGTTTCACTCCACTTAGGTCATACTACAGTTACAACTTTGTGCATAGGAGTATTAACGGAAAAGGCATGTGGACGACATACATACTTCATTGAAAATAGGGTTGCATTCACTTCTGCAAACAAGTCTACGAATATCCAAGTGTGTTGGCTGGGTTCTTCCAACTCATAAGATAAAGTGCGTTTTACAGGACTACCCACCCAACACACTTCTGAATTGCCAGGAAAATTCCCGCAAGAGACCTGCATTTATCTTCCTCAAATTTCTAACAGTTTCAAGTTCACATAGGACTCTTGGCCGTAACAAACAAAATACGAAGAAATATCACTATCCTATTACTAAACCACGAAGTCCAAAAGTAAATGCTTTGAAGCTTGTATGAGAATATTCAATTCTGTTCAGACTACAAACGTACTTTTTTCACAGCAACTATTCCGCCATTAGCCTTGTATCGGGCCTTGTAAACACTTCCATAGGACCCCTTACCCAGTTTGCAGATGATTTCCAAAACCTCCGAAGGAGGTTTTGATAGCTCTGTGTCATCTAGGCGTTGCATTGTATTCCCGTCGCCCAACCTGAATGTTGCTTCCCGGGACTGAGATAGTGGTGACCCTCAGCTTTAAATTGTCGGCGTGACATTACCTTCATGAATCAAAACGCGCTAGGCAAATCAAACTGTTCACAATGAACAATATGAGTACTATCGCTCTCCAGACGTTCGCTTTGAAAAGTGGTTGAGGTTTTCGTAATTCAGTTAACTTTTAAATCGTTAGTGATTTTGCACGCTGAAACCTGATATGTTTCACTTTAAATGAATTAGTTTTCAATTAAAGTAGACAATTCTTTGCTACTCGAAGTAGTCTCTACCTAATGTAGCTACTATTCATATTCTACATAGGTATTACAAGCTGTGTCTGCTGTGAGGCGAAAAACACCATAAATAGTTTTCACCCTGAACTGCGAAGGCCTATATTGCACCATCTGAAGCATATCACTGAAAAATTGAGAAGCGGTATTAGTGTGACCGAAATGCAACCAGGCGATTCTTGCCGGTGTTTTACTGGGCTGCATAAAAGACTGCATAAGAAGCATCCGTGATATAGGTGTAATGTGCGCCTCGCTTTATCACCAAGCCTCCAGAAGTGTGTGAAAATAGCTTTGCCTTCGCTTGGGAGGTTTTAAGAAGTAAGAGATGGTGGTCCTAGAACAAAGTTCCATACCCGTAATTGATGACCACTAAGAACCTCATAAGAGCAAGATATTCGCGGGTTCCTGATTAGCCAGTAACGACGCCCAAAAACATTTCACGTAATGAAACGGTCGTTGATAACGTGACCGCCGGAACGTACCCTGGCCTATAAACCCACAGCACGCACCATCATTGCCAAGATTATCCAACTACAGAAAGATCCTGGAAATTGTTCAGAAAAAATCCCGGTGGCTGCTGACATGAGAGACAAGGGGTAAGTGATAAGGAGATACAATACCACCGTGACAGATGGTCTTGTCATTCATGACTTACTTGAGGATGAATTGCAACTCGGGAGCTAATCCGAAAGATTTCAGTGGCTTGAGTCCTTTCTCGAAAACTGTTAATGACTGGTTACACACCTGTTAACCTCGTAAGAATGGAGTCTTGTAAGGAGTACGTATGAATTCTCTAAGGTTCAAAGTTTCTGTCTATGACCTATGGAAGATTTCAGAGCTTCGATCAGTGTTGCTGCCGTTCACCTTAAAGGGCATCGGTAAGATCGGTGACGCAACCGACTTTCACAACCACAAGCTAACCCATAGACAACAATCAAGAAACCTACTCAGAATTCAATGTAGACGGACGCAGAAGGGGCGCTTCAGATTCTTAATAAGTTTAGAATATACTTCGGGAATCAGTGAATCGCTAAACATCAGTGTAAAGCCTAACCGGTGAGTGTTTAAATCTGCCAAATTCACCTGGTATGCCTAAGAGTGTCAGGAATCGTGACTTCATGTTGCAGCTGCCACCCAAATTATTTGGTAAGCCTACGGATGACATCTTTAGGATCCTACGTGGCACCCATGTCCAACTTTATCTACCAAATAAGCTACTGCCTACCCACCTCACCCTTTGAGAGAAAAAGCCTGACAGGTAAAGTTAAGAGCAGGGTGAATAATGTCCTCTCGATGCTACCTGTGATAAGAGACCAAAACTTTCGAAAGTAATCAACCTTGAACATATGGGAATACAGGCGATTTAATCATGCCTTGTGTGGTAGCAAACACTTGATATCCTTTCCGCAGTCTGCTCAAGATAAATGATCTCAACTAACTTGGTCAGCATCATGAAAAGTAGGAACCACGAAATTTGGGTTCCAGTAGTGGAGAAATTTTGGGTTATGGCCTTGAATATTTGTAACCATCCTGAAAGAAGTCTCATCTTTTCTCCCTGTGTCAGTCTTCAAAACCAGACCAAACCTGTACATGCAGCTAATACCTTGACCATGAGTGATAAAGCACCGTCACTAGGAGTGACTTGACCTACCCAATGATCCAGAATCCATGGGAATCTATCATCTAACGAGCCCAAGCTTCTTACACTACCACTAACCCAAAAATCTGATAAGAAAAATATTTGGGTGAACTATTATTACCTTCTCATCCATCAACGTACATTTTGTCACTGCAAGATAATAATATTTGTTTCTGAACTTACAGGTGCTTGTCGGTTTTCTAAACACGGTCATTGCATTTAGCAGTGAAAATCCTTCCGGCTTTTCACTATCATTTAGTTGTTACTTCAATTATAGTTTGCGTCCTGGTTTTCCCATTAAAAGAAGTTTCCTAGAAAACGTTGACAGCGTAAATTTCTCTGTCCTAGTTGATGGGAACCTAAAAGTCGGTAGGTGTTTCCCTATTTTATTCACCCTGTAGATGTCTCCGCTTGCAGAGAACTTTGTCCGAAATACTCACGTAAACCTCATATAATAAGACCCATCATATGAGGTGTATTTTTTACCTCACATTACAACAAGTAACGAAATAGACAAATGCTTTGTACCATTCATCGATGTTTCGATCTCGCTGGGAGGATCCTTTCGGAGAGCATAAATCTGACACTGGGTTTTCAGGTTAATATTCAACTTTTGACACGGAAGATGACCTTTACGATCAGAGTGTCACTCTAACTGGTCCGCCAACTCACTCACCTATATTATATCGGCCTTTGTTTTACCTCACAGTGTAGTTTCTGAACGTAAAGGTTATCTTCCGTACCGAAAATTGACCACTAACCTGAAAACTTGATGTCAAAGTTATGTTCTTGAAAGGGGTCTTCCCAGCACGGTCAAAACATTGAGGAATAAAGCGAAATATTGTTATTTGGTTATTTGTTGTAACATACTACGCCGGAATTACACAGTTAAAATACGCTTTATACGACGAGTCATGCTAACTTGATGCCCAAACTTTCACAGGCCATCCAGTCCATTGTTGGTCAAATTTTAACACTGAATTTAAGAAATTCATGAATCAGAAAGTATTTTGCTCACCTCCTTGTGCAGTTAGAGCCCCCATATATGAGACCAACTCAGATAGACTTCGGTCTTCGCGACAGCTACCTTGCACTTATAACAACTCTCACCTGCTGCTCTGCAACTGTTCATGGAATCCCTGAAATCCAGTGGCCTCCAGGATTTGGAACCGTCCCTGAATTATAAGCCTAGAAACCCCAAAGTCCATGAACATACCTTGGCTGAAATAAGTTAGCTGAATGAAAAAGACTTCACAAACAACACCGAACAAGTGAAGAAACGATCCTCCAACAACTTCCATAGCGTGTTAGGTTGGCAGCCTCGTGATTAGAGTTTGCAGGCACAAACTAATTCTAGACATTTGGTATTCTGAAGATTGCACGGCTCGAAGATTCTCTCACGTAATATCTCTCATAAGAATGTAGCGTCACACACTTTTCCAAAATCAATAGCCTAGGATTCGACGACATTCAACCTTGATGCTGACCTTCATAGTTTAACTGGACTTGCTAAGCTGAAGGCACCCGGTCAAGCATCCTCGCCATTTCTCACGCTGTCGTGTTACGTTGCACTGCTCGTATTCGACTCTCTAGCCAGTTAGTTGGAACGCATCGATATTTTGGCACAACCACCCAAATATACGATTCCATTCAACTACGCTATCGTGTTCTTTCTTGGTCTCGTATTCGTGGGTATATGGCAAGTCCGAATAATTAGGACATTACCTAAGTGGTGATCCCGATCAATAAAATATATCCAATTTGTGAGCCTGTTCTATTTTATACTTGTATATTGTTTCCATTTTGATAACATTTATACATCCATTTACTACACTTTCTCATGTCCGACCACACTCCCAAGCTCATTGGTATTAGGCCGACTAGGAACACGATCCAACTCGTGCCATATTGACCAGACAATGCAGAAACATGGTTTCTGTATGCCGAGGCATATTTTCGAGAACAGCGCGTCTCAGATCCTCATTCTCGATTTCTTGATATCATACGGTAACTACCGCGCGAATTAAACAGGTATGTTACAGCACACATGTTTAATCCTGAAGTAAATGATCCTTATGCACTTCTCAAGGCCGCACTCTTGAAGAAAAGCGATCTCACACAGATCGTCGGCGCCTAGATGAATTACTTCGTAACATCGAGCTAGGCAGCCACTCAGCTACTGAAGTCCTCGCACGCATGCGAGAAGTAATCGGTGCGCGAGCATTCGACAATGGCCTCTTCCGAGAACTATTTCTCTCAAAACTACCAAAACCGATGCAAACCATGTTGGTGACACTGCAGTCAGTCCCATTCGATGACCTGGCAGCCTCGGCGGATGAAATACTGCAGATTTCTAGCAGACACGTCTCCAACGTATATTCTGTCTGCGACAAACCAGAGAGCCGGGATTCAGAGGTGACCGAGCCGAGCAACTCTGTTAAACGGTTGCTACGATCTGGAAGTCCTAGCTCACGTACTCTACAGAAACGCATCTTAGTGCATCGCAGCAACTCACGTGGTTGCTCCAAAACTAAAACCTAATAGGGTGGAAAACCATGAATGGTGCTAGTTTCATAATACCTACGGAGACGAAGCCAGAAAATGTCGGAAACCATGCAGTTTTAAGAAGGACACAAACTCGGGAAACGGTCACGCCGGCACGTGTTCACGGCAACCGTAGCCGGTGGAAACAGCCGTTTGCTCCACGTCACGGATATTAAAACGAAAGTTCGCTATCTCGTCGACACCGGCGCAGAAGTTAGCGTTCTTTCCGCACCGACAAACCAGAGTCATTGTGACCCATCCTTCAATCTCCAAGCAGCCAACGGCAAGGCAATCGTTATGTTTGGGAGACGATATGCCTACCTCAACTTAGGTTTACGTGAACCTATCCACTGGATTTTCCTCCTGGCTGACGTTCCTATGCCAGTCATTGGCATAGATTTGCTAAACCACTACGATCTACTCGTAGATGCTCGCCGTCGACGACTGATAGATAACAACACAAAGTTATCTATTGGGGGTGCCACTTATTTAGGTCCGAGTTTAGC